CTTATTCTCATTACTTGTCTGCTTGATATTGTATTGATAATGCAAGGAGAAAGTATATTTTGGTCACCGCTGGGAGTGAACAGGCTAACAGTATATAATCAGATCGTAAACTCAGCTGTAGACACATGTACTTTATAATAGACCTAGAAATGATCTTGTCTTTGTAAATCAATTTTTAGCCATAAATTGTACCTTTGAAATATAACTTAAGTCTAAAACTTGCAACTGCATAATTTGCAGTATTGCCTTAAGTTTTACAGTTCATGTGTGAAAATTATGCTATCATGATAGACTCCTGTGTGCACTCAACTTTTCAAAATGTAAAGTAGCTAGGATGATCTGAAAAACTAATTGGAGAGACTGATTTCCATATAGCTCCATACATTAATTATGCATTCCACTTCGTGAGGACTAAACATAAAGGTTTCTTTGCAACACTCTATGCATAATTAATGTATAAGGCTCTATGGAAATCTTGTCAACTAATTTCATTTGTGTTTCTTTTCTAAAAGGAAAACACAAAATATAACACAAATAACCACAACTTGTTCTACTTGTAATGAGTACAGTTTCCTAAGTTCACCTAGACCTTTAAATAACTTTTAAATCACCATATCCACACACATTAAATAGAACTAAAATTTGCTTTTGTCAGTGAGAATTCAAATACTCGCCAAGTCGGTACCCTGCACCATACATCACAAGGTAAGTAGTAGATGTAAGTACAGTCGAACTTCGATTATCTGGATTTCTCGATTATCCAGACTTTTTCTCTGGTCCCAATTTTGTTATGAATATTTATCAGTCATGATCAAGAGGCAGAGCTACATACTTTTCTAAACCACAGCGTGAGTTTGTTTCGCTTTCAAAAAGCAAAAGCAGCACTTACACGTGTGGAAACTAACGAAGGTCTGATTGGCTTAGAGTTGCTTTGTTACTAAGGGAGATTTCTTGCTCAATAGCGCTTTATACTATTACTAAGAATAGATTTTGTTACGTGATAACTTATGAGACCCCCCGCACAGACTCAGACAAACATTGCGACCAGCGATTAAGGAAATGTATGAGCAAGAGCTGTAAAATTAAAACAAAACGACGGAAAATTTTGTCAAAAAATTTACTTAGCGTTCTAAAAGGAAGCGGCACGGTTGGTACCAAACACTGTTGTTGGGGTGATTATAAGACAGACTCAAGATATGCAGATAAATGGCCAAAATCACTCAAAGAGTGAAAGAAATCGGGGAAGAAAGTATTCATTCCTTTCCCAAAACCTCCGCAAGACAAGGCAAAGTGCAAGCGTTGGCTAGTGGCTTGTTCACGTGAATTTTTTACGGAGAAAAACATAACAAGAAACACTTAAGTTATATTTGTGCTCTTCACTGGCCTGGCAAAAAAGGTCCAACAGCCGAATTTCCGATCCACTCAAGGCAAATCTAAGACCAGCGCAAGTAAGTTGAGCACATGCCCCTAAGAGAAAAGTACCGAAAGAAAGCGAAAATCCAGCGTCAAAGAAACAGAAATTATTAAATGACAACTGCATAAACATTAACTACATAAACTAGCTAAACTAGTATTTAATAGAAACACAACCAGTATTGAGCGAAATATACAAAAATCCGCCGCTCCTATCTTACAAAAGAGGGCAATCGCTCAAAGACATACTCGTCAGGGTCAAACTTTGAATAGGCTATTCTAAACACGCACTGGGGAGTCGTGTAGGCCTATCGACTCCCTTTTTACATTGTTTACATCAGAATTTTCTTGAAGAACTTTGGCAGCAAACCATTTAATTTTCCATGATCGATTGCCGGATCAAGGGTGTGATAATTCCCGCAGCTCACACAGACTCTCACTCATTGTACAAGATAATCTCTTTTACCGCTGAATTTTAAGCCCCTACATTTTAACCACCGTTTTAGCTGGTCTACAGTGTATTCTTCCGGTTCTCTTTCAAATTTGGAGCCAGGAATGCCTTCCTCTTCGGTCAGAACTGCAAGGGAATGAAGTGAACTACTCGCCATTTTCCATGTAGCTTTCAAAGAAGTGGAGTTTGTTTGTCTGAGTCACGCGGGGGGTCTAAAATTTCATGACGTCATTAGTATAAAGCGCTATTGGCTCGTTCGATGTGGTAAGCAAGATAAACAAGCTACACAGTGTCACGAATGTCTATTCATGGTCATCATGTCCTTGGGGTGTAAGCGATCCATTCTTTCGATGAAAAATGAACGGTTTATAATATCGCGATTTGAGAAAGGAGAAAAAGGAACAAATATGTCAGCTGAATATGGCGCTAGTAAGCGGCAGATATCAGAGATCCACATGAACAAGGAAAAGATCATGAAGTTTGCGGACAACTTAGAGAACAGCGAAGGACTTAAGCGTAAATCACTGCAGGGTTGTACATAATGAACAGCTTGTTAAAGCCTCCTATGCCTCATTAGTATTCATATCCTTGATTATCCCGACTATTTTGTCTGGTCCAAAAGAGTCCACATAATCAAGGTTCAACTGTATATATACATGTTTAGATATATTTATTATATTTAATGTGTGGTAGGCAGAAAAAAACAACTACATATACATCC